ATCAAACTTTAAATGTATTGATGGATATCTATAGCAATTGCTGAGCCCAAAGAAACACTAAGACTTTTTCCCCAAGAGATAAAATGTCTGTGAAGTGACAACAGTCTCAGAAGATCGGTGGAGAAAGGAAGTCAATAGTGATAAATGCAACGCATGTCTCTAAAAAAAACAGACCCTTGTTTAGAAGGCTTTTGTTTGGGTCAGTGCTCAGTCTGTTTCCTGAACAAGGACTCAAGAAATAGTGGGTTAGCCTATTGCTGAAAAAATTTACACTTTCTCCTAAAGGTCTCCTGATTTTGGATTTTTAAAAGTGAATCTAATAAGTTTTATTTTTTATTTTTATTTATTTATTTATTTTTTAATTTATAATTTTTTTTGATTTATTTATTTTTCCCCCAAAGCCCCAGCAGATAGTTGTATGTCATAGCTGCACATCCTTCTAGTTGCTGTATGTGGGACGCGGCCTCAGCATGGCCGGAGAAGCAGTGCGTTGGTGCGCGCCCAGGATCCAAACCCGGGCCGCCAGTAGCGGAGCGCGCGCACTTAACCACTAAGCCACTGGGCCGGCCCTCTAATAAGTTTTAGATTTGGCTCTCTGACCACTATTTTCTCATAGTTCTTTCTAGAAATGCAAAGTGGCAGAAAAATTAAACCAGTATTTATGGGGAGGGGGTAAAATGTGTTCAAAATGTCCTTTTCTTACTGTAAAAATATGTATATATATTTTATGTTGAAAATTTGGAAAATAAAGATAAGCAAAAGAGGAAATAACTTATATGAGTAATATTTTTCCATGCACAAATGTAGTTTTCTTTTGAAAAAATTAGATTCTGCTGTAGATATATGGTTATAAATTTCATTTCTCTCAAATACATATTATGCATACTTTTACTTGTTTTTGAATATTCTTCAATTCTAGTTTATTCAATAATTAGGTTGATTAGAGTTTTCCAATATAAAACTGCTGTTATGAACATTTATGTTAGTCAACCTTTCTGTATACACAGGATTTCTTCTTTAAAACAAATTCCTTAAAGTGACTTAGTAGTTGAAAAATGATGCTTATTTTATTTCTTTTTATATTCTAAGCAAATGTCTTTCAAAAATAAAGTACTAAATTATGACATTTATGACAGAGCTTGTTTCCCACCACTCTTCAATCTTGAATATTGTCATTTAAAAAATCCCAAATGTATCTTTTGGTTTTAATTTGCATTTCTTTGCTCACTAGTGTGGGTAGTTTCTGCCCATTCTTTTACAAATGCAAATGTCTTTGCCATTTTTGAGATAATCTTCCTCCCTCCCTCCCTCCCTTCCTTCCTTCCTCTTTCTTCCTATTTTTCTCCAGCTTTTTAAAAGCTATCCTCATTTTAAGTGTACAGTTTAAAGAGTTATGTACACTTTTATAATTACTCCACAGTTGAGACGTGGAAATTTTCATCACCTCTGTGGTGGGCAAAAAAATGGTCCCCCCCCCCCAAAATATCCATATCCTAATCCTTAGAATCTGTGAATGTTACCTTACATGGCAGGAAAAAAAGTTGAAAAAGGAGTAGGAAAAGGAGGAGGAAGAGGAGAAAGAGGAGGAGAAATAATCAAAAGAAACTATCAAAAGATATTAAGGGTTAAGGGTTACACTTTCCCTTATGGGGATTCCCAGATCCCCATTAGTCTGGCCTCCTAGAAAAAGAGGTGGTTTCCTGAAAAGTTCTATGCAAACTGGTCACAGCCATGTGCAGGAGGCAATCAATCCTGGTCAACCAGAAGGTTTGAACTTAGCCTCTATTATAGACTAAATATTTGTGTCCCCCCAAATTCATATGTCAAAGCCCTAATCCTCAATGTGATGGTATTTGGGAGGTAATTAAAGTTAGATTAGGTCATGAAGGGTGGTGCCCTCATGATGGGATTAGTGGCCTTATAGAAAGAGGCATGAGAGAGCTTTCTCTCTCTCTCTCTCTCTCCCGCTGTGCGCACACTGAGAAAAGGGCAAGTGAGTGCACAATGAGAAAGGAACTATCTGCAAGCCAGGAAGAGCACTCTCACCAGAAACTGAACCCTGCTGGATCTTGATCTTAGACTTTCCAGCCTCTAGAACTGTGAGAAAATAAATTTCTGTTGTTTAAGCCACCCAGTCTATAGCATTGTGTTATGCCAGCCTGAGCTGCCTCTGAGTCAAGCCAGAGGATGGGCTAATCCACTACCCTTTTTCCCTCTGTGAATGCAGAATTAAAGGTCATGTCACTCACTTCCTAGAGGCACAATTACAAAGCTTGACTCCTAGCACTCTGGGAAGCGGTGGGTGCTTTCTCAAGCATAATGTTGTGCTGACAGAAAAAGGCTAGAGTTGTTTCCCCCATGTCATATTGCTAGTGTACTCAATTATTAATGTGTAAGGATTTATTTTCAAAGATGTTTATTGCAGTAATGTTTGCCTTGGCACAAAATGGAATACAAAGGAAATTCTCAACTAAAAAAAGTGGTTCAATAATTTGTTATTCTCTGCCCTATGGAATATAATGCAGATATTAGAAGGAATGAACTAGAGCCAGACCAGTTAATTCTGAAGGATCAATATCTTTACAAATATTGATCAGGAAAAAAACTTAAAATGAAAAGAGGTATGCATGAAATGACCCCATTTTAAAATATAGTGAACAAAATTGCATATGACATTAAATATATTTTTGTTTTTAAGTGGTTACCTTAGAAAAAGAAGAAGAAAGAAAAGATATTTTCCCAGAATTCAAAGTTCTATTATAGGCTATTTAAATCTCACTCATTCATTGATTTCTATTATTGGGTATATACTGATGACATCCAAATCTCCATCTCTTGCCCAGATCTTAATCTCTTTCTTTATTCACATCTGTGTTTTCTACTGCCTACTCAGCTTCTCACCTTAGAGGTTTATAGGTACCAGAAACTCTACCAGCAGTCCAAACTACTACTACTTTTTTTTTTTTTGGCTGAGGAAGATTTGCCCTGAGCTAACATCTGTTGCCAATCTTCCTCTTTTTGCTTGAAGAAGAGTCTCCCTGAGCTAACATCTATGCCAATCCTCTTCTATTTTGTATGTGAGTTGCCACCACAGCATGGCTGCTGATGAGTGGTGTGGGTCTGCGCCTGGCAACCGAACCCGGGTTGCCAAAGTGGAGTGCACCGACCTTAACCACTAAGCCACGGGGCCGACCCCTCTAAACTACTTCTTTGTTCTACCTTTGCTCCTCCTCCTTTTCCTCTTATATCAGTGATGGACAACATCAGTCACTCTGTTACTCAAGCTAGAATCCCCAGCGTCATCTTCTGTGTTCCCTCTTCTTTGTATCCACATTCAATCAACCACCAATCTGCCGACTGTGCTTCTAAACTATCTCATAAGTTCATCCACATTTATCCATATCCACTGGCCTTTATTTCAGGCTACCATGATCTCTTGCCTAGATTACTCCACATATTCTTAACAAGTCTTCCTGTACCTAATCCTGCTCCTCTGAACTGCCTTCTTCTCATGGAATCAGGAAGACTTTTCTATAGTGAAAATTTGATTGATTTTGTCCACAGCTTAAACCTCAGTGGTTAAACCTCAGTGGTTTTCTCAATTACTCCCAGGTTAATAATCAAGCCTATTTATATGGATTCACAGCTATAATAGCATATAATTGTATGATCTGCTTTTGAAAATCACAAATGAAAAGAGCAAACACGACAACAGAAATCAATCATTTATAAATAAAAAATTACTCTTCAGAATAATTCTTGTAACAAAATGACATCAGAACTATAATTGCATACAATAAGAAAATAATAACACTTATATCTAAGCTGTACTCAGAGGGAAATCCACAGTCTGGAATCCTTTTATTATAAAAGAAGGGAAAATAAAACAAAATATTCAAATTCAAGAAGCTGCAGAAAAAAAATTAAAACACTGAAAAGCATAAAGAATGGATTAGTAAAATCGAAAATAGAAGTTAATGATTTAGGAAACAAAAGAAAAAGGGATTCATAAGTAATTGAAAAGTTAAAATACTCAACCTCATGGAAGGTTTGCTTAAGGGAAAAAAAGTACAAAAACAAAAATACATTAAAATGGAGAGAAAATAGAGCCACATGTAGGAAAGATATTGAAATATTTGTTAGAAGGCATTTTTTAAAGCTTATATTAATAAACTTAACAGTCTTGATAAAATGGAGAATTTTAAGGGAAATACATAGTAAACCAAACTGTATCAACCAGAAGTAAATTAGAGGAATAGACTAATAACCATGAAAATATTTAGAAAAGTTACCAATGATTAATATCTCAAAATGCCCTAGCCCATATGATTTTATAGGTGGGATTGCCCCATATCCCACACACATTCAAAAACGGTTTAATTCTTCTGAGTGAAAATGAGGGCATGATCTGAATTCAATCTGTAAACCTAACATGATGCCACCCAAACCAGACCAAGACGGATCAAAAGGCCCATAGACCAATCAATTCACATGCATGAAAAACTCCTATTTAAGTATGTTGATACAAGTAAAATATACAATAGCCAAGAAGGACTGAACCCAATTATTAAAATTCAAGCCATTAATACAAAATAAAAAGAACGTACATCTCCATCAAAACAATGCCCTTTAATGAGATTCAGCATCTGTGCCTAATAAAATTCTTAGAAAATGAAGACTAGAGAACTTCCTCAATATTAGAAATATTTCGTTGTTAGTGCCGTTGAATCAGCTCTGACTCATGTTGACTCCTGGTGACCCTGTGTACAGCAGAGTGGAACCCTGCCTGGTCTTTTTGCATCATCTTCTCACCTTCCAGCGCTCTATCAGACGGTGTACTTTGCTGCTATTCATAGGGTTTTCATAGCCAATTTTTTGGAAGTGGGTGCCTGGGTCCTTCTTCCTAGTCAGTCTAATCTGGAAGCTCTGCTGAAACCTGTCCACCATGAGTGGATACCTGGCATCACAGCGACATGCAGCTGCCACAGTATGACAAGCAACAGATGCATGGTGTGATTCTCTGACTGGAAAATGAACCCGGGCTGTGGTGGTGAGAATGCTGAATCTTAACCACTAGACCACCAGTTATAAAGGTTATTTATCTTAAGTTAACAGTCTACATTATATTTAAATGTGAAACACCAGAGATATTCCCTTTAAAAAATAGAAAGTCAACAAGGATATTACTATTTAACATCTCTCTAGAAGTTTTATTGTAATAACTTAGAAAGTAAAAGAAATGAGTTTTGATACTGGAAAGGAGGAAGTAAAAAAATTAGCATGTGAATCATGCTAAAGACAATGATTGCCAACCTGCAAAACTCAAGAAAATCAACTGAAAAATTATACAAACTAAGCACAATTCAATGTTACAAAAAACAAAATAAAACCCCACGACATTTTTAGCCTATATATTATCACTAATCAGTTAGAAAACATCTTTTAAGAGTCACATGTTCAATTATAAGATGAAGTTTCCATTTATACTGAGATGAGGAGGACTACAGAGGAGTAGGTTTGAACTGGGGAGAAGCAAGATGTCGATTTGAACGTGTCTAGTTAGAGACACCTATGAGATTGAAATGCAGCTGAATGTACCATATATCAGTACACAGTTCAGCAGGCTGGAGATACAAGTTGGGAGTTGCTGTGATGTAGACAATATTTAAATTCATAAGCCGTCATGAATTCAACTCATGAGTGAGTGTAGTAAGAAAAACTGATGCAAAGACTGAGTCTTGGGATGCTTCAAAATTTAGAGATTGGTTGAATATGCATGAACCAGCAAAGCAGGCTGGAAGGCTGATCAGTTTAGTTGTGAACCAGGAGTGAGTGCTGTTCCGGGGGCCAAGTAACATATGTGTTCAAAGAACCAGCGAGTGATCTTCTGTGTCACATGCTGCCCACTAGTCGCGTAAGATGAGGACAGAGGATTTGCCATTGGACTTCGTGATGTGGGGATTATTCCTAATTTTGGCAATAGGCGTTTTGGTGAAGTGAGATGGATGTAAAGCCTGATTAGAATGGGTGCAGGAAAGAATAGGAGAGGAATTAGATATGGTGAGCACAAAAAAATCTCTTGAGGAGTTTTTCCATAAAGGGAAACAGAAAAATAGTGCAATAGCTAGAGAAGACTGTAGTCAAGAGCTCTTTACATTTTTTAAAGATAGAAGATAAAACAGCCCTTTTGTATGCAGATGGGAATAATCCAGGAGTGTATGGAAAATTGATGGTATATGAGAGAAAGACAGCATTTCTGAAACTAAATCCTTGAATAAGCAAGAGGTTAGAGATCTAATTGGTGTGTAAGTGGAGCCACTCATGTTGGAAGCAGAGACATTCCCTTCATAGAAACAGTGGAGGAAGGAGAGAATAAAAATACAGATTTAAGCAGGTTGGTAAATGTGATCGTTGGAATGTGCAGAATTTTTCTTCATCTTCTTCTGTTCTGATTATAATTTTGTCTTTTTTTGTACTCCATTTATCTGGTTTGGTAATAAATGTCATATAAGAGTTTTATAACACAAAGAGGGGACTATTTATATTTTAGAAAATTTTAAATAACTGTTTAAGTCTCTCTTCTTTAAATACTTTGGGATATTTCATTGGTGAAACTAGTTGACCTGGGTATGCAGTTTTGAACATTTTTGTACTAAGCTTGTTTTCACTTTAATATATTTATACTTGCTGCTTCCTATGCTTGGCTCATCTTTCCTCTAGATATACACATGGCTGGCTTCCTGATATTATTTACATCTGCTTAAATTTCACATCATCTGATAAAGCTTGACTGCTCTGTCTGAAAGAGCCCATATCCCCCAGTCATTTTCATTCCTGTTGTCTTGATTGTTTTCTTCATAGAATTTATCACTTTCTGCAATTATATTTTGTACAATTTTCTTAGTTTAATTTCTGTCTTTTTCCACTAGACCGTAAGCTCCCTGAGGTTAGCAGTATTGCTGGTCTTGTTTACCACTGGGTACCCAGCATATTAGTATTGGTTGTGTCCCAGCACTTACTATTTGTTGAATTAATGAATGCATGAGTGATCAGGAAAGGTGGAGTAAAGACACTAAAATGGTAACCCACATTATATACTTAATCATTTTTAGGATTTCTTTAACATATGGAAGAACGAAATTATAATCATCTTGGAAGAATTGTGCAGAAAGATTTTGGAGACCTACTGAGGGCAAGAATCATTTTATTTTGCTTTATATTTTCCACATAGACTAGTGCAGTGTTTTGCAAATAAAAGCATTTTGGTTAATATTCATTGAATGAATTCACAAATAAATTGGTGAATTAACGAAATATGCTAAAATTAAGGCATACTTCAGGTTTGTTACCTTTTGTTTCCCAAACCAGTATTTTACTGTGGGTATTACTTTAAAAAATAAGGATTAGCACATGTGACTAGGTATGCCTGATTTCTAAAGCAACTTTGGGGCTTGAAGATGTTAGCATCCCCTCCTAGGTTCTAACTAGAAAGTTAAGGAGCATATAATTAGCTTTATTATAAGCTGATTATAGAGTAACAGCAGTGTGGAGCAACAAATCATCTTATCATCCAGAATACTGCTTGAGACTCAAGGAGAAAACCACTATTTATTATATTAAAAAGAGTTACATTGCCCATTTAGCACAAGAGAACTGCATAAAACTGGTGATGTTACCAGGAAAAATGCTTGGACACAATTACCATTTCCAGATGAATTTTGCCTTTATATGTGAGTATCCTACTGCAGCTCTTTGGGTAGAAAGCAGTTATGATTACCGGCAGGTGTTCATAGGCATATTTTATTATGAGTAGTATGGGGAAAAACTAAAGATTGCCTCATCTCAACAAATTCTGTGCAGAAAACTATTTGGAATGTCTTGGAGCAGTCAAGGTTAGCTTCTTAGCCTACTTATGATGCTGGGGTTGGCATGGTGACATTTAGATGGGTAGTTAGTAAATTCCTTAACAGATCAGTGTTAAGGGTCAGTATAAGTTTATTGATTTT